TCACCTGCAAACTTGTCTTAATCTCACTCGCGCTCGTACTCAGTTTATGCCTATATACGGAAAGGACATTGTCGAGGCGGTCACCGTTGATTGGCACGATTTCACGTTCGGGGCTATCACAGAAGGAAAGAAGGTACCTAAGCCGCTCCTGTACCGAACGCACCACACTCCCCATCCGAATTATCATGGCTTTGGCCAGGCGCAAATGCAACCGAAGCAAGAGGAGGCAATCCATTACGACATTGTTCGCCAACACCATGGCCTTCTCGGCTTCAGATCACCACGCTCCCATCGTGTGTTGTCACACTGGCACGATCAACAAATTACACACTTCCACGACATGATCCCTACATTGGAACAGCGTGCTGAGGCCATGGAGCCTCTCATCACTCGCTTCACATGTGTTACACCTGCTGTTGCAGCGGAGGAGCTTGCTCCTCTGACCTTGTCCAGACGCGGTGTTCAGCTAATCCAATCGTCGGAGGCAGCACATGAAAAAGATCCCTTCCATGCTTCCCGCATTAGACAATCCATCGCCTTCCCAGACAAACGTCTTCTTCAATACGACTGTGGCAAGCTTCAGCGTCTTGCAACGCTACTACGAGATCTGCAAGCTGGTGGTCACCGTGCGCTCATCTTCACGCAGATGACAAAGGTTCTCGATATCCTCGAGCAGTTCCTCAATATCCATGGGTATCGCTATCTACGTCTTGACGGATCTACCAAGATCGAACAGCGCCAAATTCTTACAGACCGCTTCAATACCGACCCTCGCATTCTATGCTTTATCCTGTCATCCCGATCTGGTGGTCTCGGTATCAATCTCACAGGTGCTGATAGCGTCATCTTCTATGATCTTGACTGGAACCCTGCAATGGACAAGCAATGTCAAGATAGAGCCCATCGTATCGGTCAAACACGCGACGTACACATCTACAAGTTTGTCAGCGAATACACCATCGAAGCCAACATCCTCCGAAAGTCCAATCAAAAACGTCTTCTCGACGACGTCATTATTCAAAAGGGTGACTTCACCACAGACACATTCAACAAGGTTACCTGGCGCGACGCGCTTGACGAGAATATGGGCATCGACACTACCGACGAAGCTGGCGCAGCCATGGAACGTGTGCTCGGCGAGAAGATTGGACTCCTTGGCGACGCACGTGTTATGGGCAACGTAGAAGATACGGAAGATCGTACTGCAGCTTCCATTGCGCAAAAGGAGATTGTGGATGAAATTCAGGAAGATCAAGTCGACTTCAACGAGAGCCTCAACGCTACGAGGGCTGTCTCTGAAGCCGCAGCTACCACTAAAGCGGGCGAAGATCTGGATGTTGACGGCAACGAAAAGGAACGGAGACACGTCGATGAATACATGCTGAGCTTGTACCGAGAGGAATATGGCAAAGAACCATACAGACCGCCAACGGACAGGCAGAAGAGGAATCGGAAGGGGCAGGATCCTCATGTGCGGCATCGAAAGAAGAAATACTAGTAGACGGCCTTTGATTTTTAGCGAGCGTATTGAAGCGTAAAAATGTATTAATAATTGTACAATCGTAGTAGCATTTGCATGGTCTGGCGTTTCCTCAACAGAGAGGAAGAGCAATAAGATAACTGTACATTCACGTTGAAGTCGGATGCTGCCCGCAGATTTTGTTTCTGGTATACGCTGACCACACCAACACCCGAGGTTTATAGACCGGTCAAATAACCAGTACTGTCACATACGACCATAGGATCTTGAAATCACAGCTTCCCGTTCGCTCAGCCCTAGTTAAGCAAGATACCGGCGGATTAGTAGTCAGGTGGGTGACCACTGGCGAATCCCCGCTGTTGTATGTTTTTGCCGGCTCTCTATTCTTTTTTTGCGTCTTGCACCAAACAAAGATCAACGGCTGAGACACTCTTAATGCAGGGCCTGCCTAGCTCTCGTTACAGTAACAGAAATATATATCTCTCTTTTTTCTACGTTGTTAGATAGATGCAGATGTGTCTTCACTGCCACTCTGGACCGCCTCTTCCTCACCACTATCATCTGCATTGATCGCATAGTCTTCCTCTTCTCTTTCTAGATATGGCGGTGGGGCCAGTTCTTGACTCTCTTCGTCGCCTTCTCCATCTTTGGCTTCTACCCACACTCTGTTCAACTCTGCCTCGATCTCCTCTCTCCTCTTTTTCCACTCCTCCACTTTAGCCAGCCTCTCCCTCAGCTCTGCGAGCTCCTTATCCACATTCGATTTCTCAGACTGCGTACCTATGCGTTGGAAGTCCCACTCATCGCCGTGATCACCCATGCCAAGAGTCAGTGTGTAATCGTGGTAACGCTTTAGGGATGCGCGGGTGGATATTGTGATTAACGCTAGAATCAATAAGTCAGTCGATGTTATATCGAAGAAGAAAAGGAGATAAATAGAGAACGTACTTATTCCCTTCGCCTTTGCGCGTTCGTAGAGCAAGCCCTCCACATCACTACTGACCGCACTTGTTCCTTCGTCCACAAACGCATACCGTGGTTCATGATAAAGTAATCTTGCAATGCCCATTCTCTGCTTCTCACCACCACTGAAAACGTCTTTCCATACTTTCTTCGTGTCCCAGCCGCCTTCCCTGTCAGGTAGATAGCCAAGTTTCGCCTCTTCGAGGACCTGGGAAAGTTCAAAGTCGCGGCGGCCGGCATCCTTCATGTCGGCATCGGTGTGAGGGTAGATGACTTGGTCACGGAGGGTGCCAGTGGAGAGGTAGGGTCGTTGAGGGAGGAACATGATGCCATCTACGCCAATGCTACGTGGACGACTAACAAGACCACGGTATGCGGGCCAGAGACCGGCGACTATGCGTGAGACGGCGCTCTTGCCGCAGCCATTGGGACCAGTGATGAGAAGATGCTCACCGGAATGAACAATAAAGGACAGAGACTCTAGGAGTTCTTCGCCGCCCATTGGATGCAAGGCTGGGGCAACAACTGGAACGTGTTCAAGACGAATTCCGTCAAAACCCTTGTGAACTGTGCCTTGAATATCGGAGACGGAATAAAGTTCAGGTCGTGTACCGGGCGGAGGATAGTATGCATCTGCATGAACGCGATGGAGTGTGCTGATCAATGTATAGACGCGGGATGTATAGCCGGCCAGTTCAGAGAGGTCTTTGATACTATACATCATACGACCGCCAGCGTCTGCAAGAGACAACATAAGCCGCTTGTTCGTGATGAAGTCCTTCATGCGACTTCGCTCGCGGTGTGATTTCTCGCCTCCAGGCAGCTCAGGTGTACCTCCTGCACCGCCCCATTCAGGCAAGAAGACGGGAAGCGACGTAACGAGGTATCCGAAAGCTGACCATGAGTATTTGAGGACAAAATCTTCGAGCATATTGTACCGGATCTTGAGGCTGTAGATGCCTTCCATCCAGTGTTTAAGATCCTTGAAACCATGTTCGAGGAAGTGCTTTTCCATTTCGTCACCACCGTAGAAAGCGACTTCTTCGGCGTTTGCGATGAGACGAGAGTGCAGTGCGCGGAACTCGCCTTCTCTTCGACCTTCGACGGCTTTTAGTTTGCCAAATGGTGGAGAGAGTTTCCGTAGCACCGTCGCTGTGAGGAAGTAGTTGCTTAACAAACCAGTCAAAGCCAGAGGTCCTAGAGAACGGTAGAGCTGGTAATTGAAGACGCATAGATCCACAAACGGTTTTCCCAGGCTCGAATACAACGACGCGGCACTCGCGCAGAACAATGTCAGATCTTGCGTGATATACTGGTCTGCTCCAGCTCCTACGCCTCCATCCAGATTTTGGAGCTTGTAGTAGTTCAAGTGATCGTTCAGGTACAAGTCGTGAATGTATCTCGTGAGCCGTGTCCGGAACGCGATGGAAACCTTGCTCTGCAAGAACTTGATCATGGCATTCGTGTACGAGGAAAATGTGCCGACACCCAGCCATTGGACTATACCCCACAAGAAAGCCTTTCCATTGCCCGCGACGAGATCGCGCACGATCTCTCCATCGAGGCGCGCTACGACGAGGGAGAGATATGTCCGCAGCATGAGGAAGACGCTATGGCTGACCAACAGACCCGTCTCCTTGCTGTTCCAACGCGGTATCATGATGTTCAACAGGCTTAGAAACTGGTGTAGGAAAGCCAGATTGAGACCCGGCTTCGTTTGCGGCGGCGGCGCTTGCGGATCGCTCGACGTAGTATCAGCCATGCGGGCTGCGCGTGGGGGCTGGAGGAAAAGTCTACGATGAGCATCGAATGTGGTTTGCTTGGTGGGATGGATGACTACTTTGGACGTCGAGTCGCGGTAGGGAACGTATATTGTCCTGGAGCCGTCTTTGTTCTTGAGTCCGGAGTTCCTCCTCAGCAAGCGTCGGCCAGTCTCTTTCTCTGCGCGCCGGCTCTTGTACCATCGGGTACCTCCATATCCCGCGCCTATGATGGTGAGTAGAAGGGTGATGGTAGTCAGAAGCTTCGTGACCTTCGAAGCGCTGCGTACGCGGGACTTGAGGCGCGTCGCATAATGGTCGTAGAGTGCTAAGAGAGGGTCATGAGGCTGGCGTAAGGTGGACTGGACGGCCATGGTTGACCGTGTACATCCTCCCTAGGAAGATTTTCATTTCCCAATCGTAAAGTCGATGGCGGAGGTCTAGTAATGGTGTACTTGGCTGGCATGTGAGTACGTGCTATGATGCTGGCTGCGGTTTGAGCCGAGGCATGTGAACGTGCCACGTGCACTGGGGTAATCCGGGGTGTGGCTCCACAGTAGCTCATGAACACCGCCACTAATGTTATCTTCATTGTGTTCTTGAACTATACGCCGAGAACAGACCAGAATAAGCTTCACCGATGTAATAGCTTCGCAAATTCGGAAGTGTTTGATTATGATTACTATTTATCGAGTCTGATAATTACCAGCCACCTGAAAGCATGATGATTACAATGCGGACGAAAGCCTCCAATGCATCCCCTCGTTCAATTCATAACTTCATTCCGTTGGAGCACCTCAGACCGACTCAGAGTTCCTGCTCTCGATGCCTTTAACTGTTTTGTGTAGCTCGATCTTCAACCACCTGCCTAGTATGTTATACAAATGCTCTGCTTGCTCGCATGCCGCGCTATTCCCTCCCCAATTAGCTAGTGCCCTGACGAGTTGTTCACAACCTTGTAGCTCAAGCAATATCACCTGTCTTCTATAGTTCTGCTGCTCAAGGTCTTCAAAGTCGTAGTGTTGATGCTGAGATTGCTGCACGTACGGATCGAAGCTCTCACCCTTAATGATGCTCGGCACAGATGGAGTTGGAAAAGCAGGCTGCGAAGAGCGTAATGACTGGTTGTTGCTCCAACAAAACGATGCTGATACCAAGGTACTGGATTGGACAGGAGGGTGTACACCAGCGGCAGTCTGGTACCAGGTCAGAATCTTGGATGTTATGCTTGAGTATAGCATAGCGAGGTGTGGATCTGACGAGCAAGGACAATTAAGAAGCTGCAAAACATTCCTTATGGCTGATTGAGAAGTCAGGAGAACAGCCTCGAACGGACCCTTGGTAAATGCCGGATGTGTATGGCTGACGTGCCTTAAAGTATCAAGGATTGAGTAGGCCGATGTATAGCAGCAATGAAAGTTGTCCATCGAGGAGTTGAAATATGGTGCCATTGCATCATTCATCCCTGTAGCTTGACTGATCGGGCTATATGGTATGGAGACGGAAGAGACGGAACGTAGATGCTCTGCGTTCTTTGGGCCGGTCGAGTAATAGTCCATGGGGTTTATGTCATTGCCGCCTATGTATTCTCTAAGAGCTTGCCAACTAGAGGGGTCAGATTGCGCTGTTTGCTCCTCTGTGAACGGGTCTCGGAAGAGACGGTTCAATTCGATGGTCGATCCTGGTCCTGCTCGAGCTGGTTGTGTTGGTAGAACAGTATTATCGATATGAGTCGTGTCTGAATGAACGTCGCTTGCGTATGATGATTCTGGTACAGTTTCGAACTCGAAGCCTGGAGTGGCTGACAAGCTTGGTGTAGGCGACCAGTCAGAAGCCCAATTCGAAGCGATTTCTAGATCCGTCTGTTGAAGGGTAGGTTCCGGTTGGAGGCTGAACAAACTGAACTCGCTGCTCCCTGGAGATAGACGCTGCTTCGCGGCTTTGACGAACGGAGTTCCGTCTGCGTTTCTCTTCCTCGTCCGGCCTGGTTTTCCGTGTTTTCTCGAAACACCATATATACATGTCGAGTTGATGACGGAGCATCGTGCACAGATCGGATGCTCTTTGCTGCACTTGACTTTTGACGCAGCGCAAGAGTCGCATGAAGCTCTGAGCTTCAGGTTGTTGATTTTCCTAGGTGTGGATGTCTTCGGTGCTGATGTAGGTGAAGACATGTTGAGTGACGTTTTTTTGTTGTCGATTATGACTGGTGAACGCCAAAGAAACGGCCGTGATGCAATAGACATTATAGTCGACTATGCAGCCTCTTTCGAAGAGTCGGTGTCGAGTAGAGAGTAAGCTGAGCGTTGTACTACCAGCCATGTGTAGCCAAGTCCAGCTCTCGAGCACTCCACCGCCTTTATATATTAACCAGCATCCTACGATACTTGCCTTACCCGGATCCATCACTGTGGTGTAGGTAAGATTTAGATTTTGGATCTGCTGCATAGACCTACATCGCAGTATTACCATCTGCCATGATTAGCGCACCCGCATGTCTCAGCCCTCATACCCTGCTACCCGTCAAGCCACCTACACGTGCCTCAATAAGGTCTGTTCACTGCATAACGCATGCCTGTTGGCCGCAACAGCGGCTGCAGCTATCCTGATCCTTGACTCCACGTTCTTGAGGTGTATTGGTGGGCGGGGAGGATTGCGCAGAATAGTTCATGCCTCATGCAGGTGTAAGGCGGGCTGTGCGAGAGAAAATATGTTTTGGTATCTGTGCAGACACAACGTCCAATGAGCGGCCGATGTGTCAGCCTCACTGTGCTTACAGACCTGCATAACCTACTTTTCAGCGTTTTCTGGATAGTCTGTTACCAAGGTAAGAGATCCAAAGCGGACGGCAACCGAAGTGAAGGCAGTTATGGTGGTTGTGTGTCGTTTTGAGTATTCTGAGTGCGCTCATCATTGCGATAAGCTGCCGCACCCGCTCCCCAAGTAGCGAGTACAGTATTCAACAAGTACCGTACAGGTAACTCAAGTGCATGGCATACTTTGAAGAACAAGAAGGAACGGAAGGTATCCAGGTACCTGTGCGTTGTTCGTTCGATTGATCGATCGTGCAGTGTAGGACTGCCCTCCCTGATTTCCCCACGGCTAGCGTTCTGCTAGCCGAATTGGGCAAGCACCGCCTGCAGCTCAAAATAACTTCCCATGTCACTGGGCAGCACACCCTCCTACCGCCTGCGCGTCTCTATCATGCTCCTACAGACAGTATCCTGCATATCGCTTGAAAGCCCTGGCACACCTTCACCAAGGTGGTAAGTCTATGTGTATTTTCTGTCCACTTGCGAACGTTACTGCGCAGGGCGAAGCAATCCGTTGCTATATGCAGGTCGTGATACTGGTCCATGGATCAGATAACCTAAAGAGGACGACCTTACTTCCCAATCGAGGGTCTTGGGAGAGATTAGATGCGGCTCTGCGGATCAGGCTTGAAGAGATACGATTCATGAGTCCGTGGTGTCTGACCGTGGAGACAGGCTATCCAACCACACGTCGCATAACGGGGCTTTCCAACCTCCATACAACAGATAATCAACAACTCAGTTGACTTTGTAGTAGTTAGGAACCTAACAGCGTTACCGGTTCGTCCATAGGATTTATCGTGGAAACTATCAATGGCCCAAAACTTGACTTCTATAGCAATAGTGCGTCCTGACCTGAATCGATCATCAGGTCAGATAGATCTGAGTTGCCATGTCGAGTTCACAAATCCCATCGAGTCAACGCAAGTGGGTAGCTTCCAAAAGCATAAGCGAGCACCCTACTGTCATTCGCTCGCTCGAAGAGTCTTGACACAGCCCCAATACGCACGCCGCAACCATCTTTTGACGCCGGTTAAAAACGTGGTCAGCCAGGTTTCTATCTTGATGGTTGGAAGCGATTTCGATCTTCACCAATCTCGTGAACTGCATGCATGCGTCATCTATACACGTGGGAAGCTGGTGAGCAAATAGCCATAGGTAGTGTTCAATCGAAAAAGGTAGGATAGCGGCTCTGAAATATCCAGAGGCTAGCCAACCTGTTAACGCCTGACTTTTGAATACAGTCTTATGCAAGTCCAATCAATAACCTCAGATCACGTGTATGATCCTGACACCTTTACGCCGTGCTATGCCCGAAAGACTGACCACAGGCGATTCCCACCTGGGTGTGTCTGTTTTGCGCCATCAAGTATCGTCATTTTCAACAGTTGGATGTGCATTCAACAAGGCCGAAGCTTCAGCCCTACGCCTAGCATCATCCTGCTCCAGTTGAGTTCGCACGTGCTGGGAAACCTACTCATCGGCCTCTGTATTCCAGATCTCCACCTCCCTGTTCTCCAGCTCTTTCATCTTCTCTTCCCCGAAGATGGTCTCGGTTGGCAAACCAGTCTTTCCGTAGTTGACAACAGGTCCTATTGTGTTGATCCATTGTTGTCTTCTTTCCATAAGAGTGCGGATTGGCTCGCCCACGCCCGGCCTCGAAATGCCAGCGTTAGCCACTGGATGACTTCCACCTCCTGCACCACCCGGCCGCTTGTTTTGTTTCTTGCCTTTGCCAATATTGCGGTTACGCTTGAGGTAGGCGGCGTTGAGTTGGTTGTCGAGATCGTCGGCTATAGTGTTGTACTCTTGCTGAGCTATGCGCTCTTCTGTGAGCTCGAGAAGGCGTTGTTTTCGTGCGCCATTGATGATGGACTGCTTGCGGAGTTCTTCTTGTAGAAAGCGGAGGCGTTGGGCTACTTCGTCATCGAAATGAGAATCGTATGATTGCGACTCTGCGTCTGCTTCGGAGATCAGGCCAAAGTGCTTCAGCTCCATTAGTACGCGGTCCTCCATGCCGACATAGTCGGTGCGGCCAGTCTGTGGTGGAGGTTTCCAGCCCGGCTGAACGAGGTCGGGAAGTTGGGCGGCAGCCGGTATCGAATTCGTGTTGGCCGTGTCTGCAGGCGCACCTGCGCCTTCATCAATATCCATGGCGTCTCCATTGACTCCATTAGTTTCGCTCTGGCCGCTCTGATTACCACGTCCCTCTGGTCGTAATGTAGCTAGGAGACGCGACAGGAGGGGCCCTGTAGACACTTGATCTGTCTCAAGCACGTCGTCTGAGATGTCCTCTGCTGCTCCACGTGGGACGTTGGGTGGTGGTCGTTGGTCATTCGAGTCTATGTGCATAGAGCCATCTTCCTCGGCCCATATCTCCTTGTAGTGTCGCTGGCCGCGTCGAGGCAGCACGAATGGCGCTATACGGTCTCCGCGCTCCTTCAAGAATGCCACGTCCTCTTCGGTGAGCGGCCTTATGTATGGTTCAACGTAGTTGGCGAAGACGGTGGCATTGACCTGTGACGGCGGTTTGGCATTGGAGAAGTCCTTTGCTGGTGGTGAGCCGGCTATCCTGTCACGGAGATCGTGCTTGGGGAATTCGGCGACACAGTATATCTCCTTTCTCTCCTCAATCGACATGCCTGGTGTAACCTCGCGTATATGGTATACGGTAGGGTCATCGAATTTTGCGGGGTCAGGACCGAAAGTCTGGAATTGCGGTACGGCTGGGGCAGGGGCGGGCTGGTGAGAGACATCAGAGCCACTGGGCGAGGGAGCATCCGCCGGCCCATTGCCAGCAGCGGAGGGCGGCGCTTGCGATATTGGCGATGAGATGGCCGAGGAGTTGTCTGTAGACGTGGTTAGATGTCTGTGAAGTCGTCTCATGTTGAGCTTGACGATCAACTGCTGTTGGGAAGGAGCCATGTTGGAGGGTATTCGAAGTAGTGTATACGAGGAGAGATCGTATATGTAAAGTTCCAAGGGAAATGTGATTGCCCGGTATCAAACTCACCTTTGCCGTCACCGCCGTCCTGCCTGGCCAGGCCGTGGGCACCGGTCGCAGGCGGATGCTTCCCGTCCTCGTCGTGTTTCTTGCTCACCTTCTTGAGCTTGTGTTTGCGCTCGCGCTCCTCGCCATCCTTGTCCTTTTCCCTTTCACGCGGCGCCCGGTTCTTCTTGTTGTTCATGAGTTCCCGCAGCGCACCTTCGGACTGCACGCAGCGTGACTCGACGTTCTTCAGCACAGTCTTCTCGATGTCGTCGCGCATGGACAACAACAGCTTTCCGGTCGGAATGGAAGAGCCGTTGGCGCCCCCATCGAGTATGTCTTCGACTGTCTTGGGGCTCTTTCTGAGGTAGGAGCTCAGGCGGTTTCCAAAGTAGGACGAAGAGGAAGAAGGCTCGACCGAAGTGCGTACGTTGGGCAGCGGCGTTGTGTTTCGGCTGCGCGGTGCTTGCGAGGGCTTGCCAGGCTTGGTCGCCTTGCCCTTGCTGCTCACGCCTGGAGGCGCCATATTGCGCGTCCACGAGCGTCGTCGCTGTGGAATGCGGGGAAGAAAGTCAGTCGCGTCCACGACGCGAGATGGGCGGCCGACGTCTGAGAGCTGCCAGAGAGATGTCGCAGGCGCTAGACTAACCAGGGGCAGGTATGCAGCAGGATGGTAGCAGGCGTCTTGGATTGTCGCATCGCCGGCGCATTCGTTTGTTGGTGTTGTTCGCCGTCTGGGGAACTGGCTCGTGCTAGCCCTGAAGACAGACGCCAAGGTCGCGAGAGGCGTGCCGTCTGCGATACGACCATGTCAACGTCATTACCGACGAGCAGGGCACTATTCATGCACAACGGCATCCTCTCCAACTGTCCAGTCCAGTGGGGCCTGTATCCATCCTATGCTGCCCTTCTTGACGCAATCTCCTGTTCGCGCCAGGGAAACAAGCTTTTTGCTAAGCTCGGCGCTTCTCCATTCTCATCCGGGAGGGGCGGCAGTGTTGACGAAGCCGACCAGCCTTCATTCCTAGCCACCCGCTCCCGCTCTACAACCACCGCTGCAACCACCCACAGCCACGCCATTCTCTTCTTTCCTCTGCATACCCTCCTGCTTGCGCCCACACTGCCTTCCCACACGACTGCCGGCAATGAATTGTAGTTGGCTCACATTAGCGGCCCCTGTGTAATCGTCCAGTGTCGCCCACCATGTGTACGTCACACCACTTTGCCGCCCGTTGGCACCAACTCGCTGACCGCACGCTGACTGTCGCACAGCTGCCCAAAGGATTGGTATATTTACCATCGACTTCCCGGACCCTCTTCGCATCGACTACGACAACAACCAGTTCATTACACTCAACGATTCCGTCTCGTT